CCTTGCAGGAGAAATCAGATGAGAAAATGGAACAGAACTTGTGCAGCCCTGGAACCTCCTTGGAGCAGAGGAAAAGCCTCATTCCCCATATCCACAGCCTATGAAGAGAGAGGCTGGTTTAAACACTTCCCTTTATTCACTGCACTTAGATCTGTGCCAACGTGTGTTTTAACTTTATTAATATTGCAGTCATTTCATTATTAATAGAAACGTGTGCATTAATTTTTAATATTATATGAATATTGATATTACAGATATGCTATAGAATAATGTTGATATCCCACCACACTGGAGGCATTTCCATGTTTATTGCCAGATTTTAGGTTAGCAGAGAGGCCTTGCAGGAAAGAGCACCATCGCATATAATGAGTTGCTGCCTTAATTTGATTAGGTGCTTATTAGGAAAGGGGAAGCGAGGTGTTTGGGGTTTGAGGGTGCACAGCTGGCTGGGCCAGCACACACTTATAAGCCTGGGGGACTACAGGGAAGGCCCTGCTCCTGAGCACCAGCAAGCCCAGCTGAAACTCAGCTTCATCTGCACCCTCCTGCCCACAATTCACCCCTGGAAATTTTTGCTACTTTATAAAAAGTGTTACAGAGGTGACAAAAAGGTAAATTAGTCTGGTTGTGTGGCAGGGGGTATTCAAATCTGAGTGGGTCCCTACAGAAGAGACAAGCCAAATACTGGTTTTACAGAACTAGTAATTGAAAGGAGCTGAACTGGCTGAAGGTCATCGTGGTGTTTGGGAAGATAAAAGGGAATAATGCATTCCTCTATGGAGAACAATTTAAGGTAAGAAAAGTGATTATTGTTGGTACTGTTAATTTGTAGTGGTGTGGGAAACAGCAGTCTTATTGTGATTCTAAAGCTCTTGTGTGTTTGGAGATCATTCACATTCCTTGTCAAGAGGGACTGAGCTAATTTTCTCCATCAGCACAATGCACCAAAGCAAAGGATGACACCAGCAAGTGTGACCCCAGACCAAGGTCCTTGCCAGTGTCTCCCCCAACCCCAGCAGCTCTGGGGTTTGTTCTTTCTGCACAGATGGATATTCAAAAGAAACAGAAGGTGCTGAGAATCCCTTTGATTTAAACAAGATGTCTCAGGAGTTTGATCCTGACAATGTGTAATGTGTTTTCCAGAAGGAATTAGAAAATTGCAGGAAGAGAATAGACTGTGCAAATGCAAGAGGATTTTGATAACAGCAAAATCAATGTGCCTTTCTCTGTTACATAGATATGAAATGGCAAACCAGCAGGGGTGCAGTCATTAGACTGATCAATAATTCTGAGCACAGGAATGGAGATGAGCTTAATGCACATCAGCAAATCACCTGTGGTTTCTCAAGGAGAGTCCTGAGTGCAGGCAGACCCAGCCCAGTGCAGCAGGACACATTCAAGGATCTGGCAGGGCAGGTTCCCCCATGTGTGCCTTGGAGGATGGAGGCAGCCTTTGGGTCATGCTGCCTGGTCATCAGGGCTGGGAAAGGCTGGATGTGAAAGGCTGAAGCTGAGCAGTCCTGGTGCACTGAAGGGAGGAGGGTGGATGGCAGCTTGTTCTGTGACAAGATGTACAAGGCAGGGTGACAGAAAAGTGTGCAGGAGAGGAGGAAAAAGCAATATAACTGCAGAGGAGAGGTGTAAATACCCCTGTGGCAGGGGTTTCCCAAAAATCTGAGTGTGAGCAGCTTAGTGGGGGAGAAAATGAAGGCAAGCACAATGCCAAAAGGACAGAAAGTCTCCTCTGCAAAACCTGGGAAACTCTGTGCATATTGTGTACCAGGAGTGCCCAGAGCACCCCAGACTGATGCTCCATCCCAAACACCTTTCTTCCCCTTCCTAATAAGCATGTAATCAAATTAAGGCACCAGATATCAGGCGTTACAGGCACATCCCTGTCCCCAGAAGTTCACATAAGTCTCCCAGACCACACAAAGCAAGTGCCTGCGCTGCATTTAGTGCGTACCTGCATCACTGCAGCCTGAGCCAGCCTGGGATGCAATGACTGCCCTGCATCCCAGCAGATGGGACAGGAAGGATGGGCCATGGACCCTGGAGAGCTCTGCACTGCACTGCCTGGGCAGTGTCTCCCTTCCTAGGCTGGGATCTCCACCAGGTCTCCCAAACTCTGGTGCCATGCCTCTGCCACAGCATCGTAGCACATGGAAAGGATTAAATCTGCTTTTAAAGCATAATGTGGCTTTGTAAATCCCAAGGCAGTAACTCAGTGCAGAAGCAGACTAAAAATATGGCCTGGTTCCAGCCCAGCAAGCAGGGCTGGGTTGTCTTTATTTACTTTTTCTCTTGCACATGTGAGTGCACTCATGGCATTTCATGTAGAGATTGTGGGCTCTTTCACCACAAACAGGCAGATGTGGCTCTTGCTGCAAGGAGTTTGCAAACCAGCAAAGCTGATATTAATTTCAGGGGGTGCAGGATTCACCCTTTATTTATTCCTCCAGGCTATATGGGAGCCCAGGCAGCAGAGCACACCTCGGACCTCTTTTATGGGACCAGAAGGGTCAGCTCAGGGAAAGGCATCAGTGAGGCAGCTGCCAACATTCTCACTCCTTCCAAAAATTTCACCACATCCTGTAGAATTAGTAGGTTCTTAATTTTTTCTTCTCCAATTTCCTTTCTCACATGGATGAAA